TAACCAGATATGAACATTTCTGTGTGTAGATTTATGACCCAGCAGATGTTGTCATATTTCCAGAAGACCTTGAGGAGTGATTGGACTCTCCAGACTGAACGATGAGCTCAGTCTTTAATTGTTGTTGACTTTTGATGTCTTCTTGGTCAAACTCCAGCTGCCTTCTTTCATGTTTTAGTCCAGACATGAGGGACGGAGGAGGTTTTATCATGTGTTCAGCGGCTCATACTGGTTGTACTGGGGTTAAACTGGAGCTTCTGGTACTTTCTAGAAGTCTCTCTGAGCCATTCGCTGCCTCTAGTCCAGTTAGTTTTCTGGTTCTAAACACAGAGGAACTGAATCCAAACGCTCACTCTGCATGTTCTGCTCATGTCTGGACATTTATTTATTGTGGAGCTCCATGACCTTCAACCTCCTGACGTCTCCGTTCAGACGTGAAGCCAGACCTCCGTATCGATGAACGGTTTGAACAGAAGCCATCTGACTGGAGAGCTGCTCCAGCTCGGCCTCTGATTGGCCGTCAGCTCTGACAGGGGCGAAGCCGCGCCGGCTCCTCCATCCAATCAGAGCGTGGCTCGGCTCGTAGCAACCGGGACGCTGTCGCTAGGGAGAAAAGAGGAGAGACGGAGGAGAAAGCTGCTTCTGGATGGTTACTGTAGATGTTTGTAGTAGATTTAAATAAAACGGTTTGGTTTTATGGTCACACATCATGTCGCTGTGTTACAATCAGTAGAAATACAGACGTTAGATGTGGACGTGAGACGCAGCTTTGGGCATTTTAAAAAAGAATTTAACATTTAAATTAATATTTTGTTAGCAAATCTGTAAAATAACTCAAATATTTCTGTTAGTATTTATATTAGTGTTCCAATATACATTCATCTTATTTTAAATAAAAGTGATTGCTGATTTAAATAAAGATAAAATAATTAGCGTCATTTGGAAAAACAAATGTTTTTTATTTACAGTCTCGGCCTGTTGTTGTTTTTATGGTTAACATGTGAATTAATGCTGTTTTCTGTGGTTTTTCCAGTTGTTATCTGCTATCTAACAGTGAATATACGCAGTTTTTTTCAAGTGTATTTAAAAGAAGAAAAAACAAAATAGAGTTTCTGGTTCCCGTTGAGTCACGCAGCAGAAAAATATTTATTATCGAGTGTTTTGTGTCGGAACAGAAGCTGCAGCTTTAATCGATGCAGACGGAGTTCTGACCGGATCCAGTAGCACGAGCAACGCTTTGATCAACACCAGGATTCATTACTTTATTACGTCTTCCAGAAATCAATAATTAATGTTTCACCAAAGACAAAGTCGACTCCCAGCCAAGATCAGAAGTTTATGGTCAAATAAAACGTTGAAGATGCAGCACAACATGTTAAATTTACTTTAATCCAACATGACAGCTGCTGTTGTTCCAGTCGTTGGTTCAGATCGGCTCAGTTTGGATCCTAACGTCGAGAAATGTTGATGCTCAGATCAGCCAAACAGACCCTGTGAACCAGGAAGTCTGTTCTCCATCCAGACGTCTCCTTCAGGATAAATAAAGGCCGAGGATGAATTATGCAGCGCTCCGGGTTCAGTCGGTTCAGGAGCTTCCTCTCAGACGGATGAGCTTCGAGTTCGAGGGTCTGAGAGGAAGAAGAGCTTTCGGCATCGTCAGCGGTCCGTCGGCTCGTCTTCCTCCAGCGTTAGTCTGTAAATCACACAACTGGTGGACTGAGCTGCGATCAATCAGTCTCAACTGTCTGGATCATCAGGTTTCACCACAAAATCAGTCTAAATTCTGATTGCAGCTTCTTCAGTGAGAATGTTTTCTGGTTTCTTTCCTCTGTGACACTAAACCAAACATCTTTGGACAAAACAAGACAGTTGCTTCAGTAACAACTGGTCTTTTTTGTTTGTTTTTAATCATTTCTCTTACATTTTATTGACCAATCAGCCAATAGAAGAGAGAAATCATCTCCCAAAGGCATTAAAAGTCCAAATATTCTCCAAAGGACCGGATTAAAACTTTGGTCTTTGGTCTCCGTTCCAGGAGAAACCTTTACATTGAATGTTTTGTTTGATTAGGAGTCAAGGTAAAGGGTAAATTCAAGGTAAAACAATAAAGCCTGGTTTAGTGAATGTGATCAACTGTAGGGAAGGAGATGCTACGACTGAATCATTTTCTTAGTTCATAATCAGAAGCATTCTCGATCAGTAGTTGATTAACTCTGAACACAAGTTGATCTCAGCAGACACTGGGGCTGATGTTGCCCTTTTAGTCAGCGGACTCCTGATTTGGGCTGAAAACTCGACTTAGCTCCGTATTTTAATGTGAGATAAGAAAGTTTGTCTCAGCTCTGGTTGGAGGTCATGAGCTGTAGTCTGAGTGACGCCTCCTCTGGTCTCAACAGGATTAAACAGTGAGAGGCTCCACCTGCTGGAACAACCAGGTACTGCAGCTGGTCTATGATACGCTTACTGACAGGTTTTCTTTTGGAGCTTGTGGAGCCTCCGTACATCCTAAATTCTAACATTATATTTAGACAGCGTTCTACTGGATCTTCACAGCGAGGTTCAGCGATGTTAAAATCAGTTTTTCTTCCATCTTCTCCTCAGAGTCGTCCAGCGATGATCTCCTACCTTCTCGCCACTCCGGTCGCTTCCCTCCGTCTCTGTACCCTCGTCAGGATGACGTCGACCCTCCAGAGTCGCTCCACCTTCACCACCTCCATCACCCTCACCGCCACCTCCATCACCGCCACCACCAGCCTCCTGCCGGGTCGACCAATCGGATGCCTCTGCTGGAGTCTCGGTTCCGTCAGGAGCCTTCCGCCCGCCGGAGCCTCGACCTGCTGACTCGACCTCATCACGACGTCCGGCCGGAGCACGCCGCCGTGTCGGCCCGACACCTGGTCACCGTGGTGAGTAGCCTGCTCTGTGATTGGCTGAAATGGGCAGGAAGTGGGAGGAGTCCACCAATCAGAGTTCACCTGGCAATCTGGTGGTTGTGGGCTGAGCTACAACGATGTCATGCATCTGTAGGTCTTTTAAATAATATCATTTTTTTCCAGGCTAGTTCAGCATCTTCTGTTTGTTTCACATCAACCGTCACGTTTTCTGCAAATCCAGTTGGGAAATGTAGTTTTTTCTTAAAATAGTCTTTGTTTTGGTCGTTTTTTGACGTTTAATTGTTTGATTTGGAGAAAAAAACGTCCTTCGAAAGACTAAAGTTGAGCCAATACATGAATAATCAATTAGCAGGGAATTAATCAGCCTCCATTTTGATAATTTAATGACAGTTTTAGCTGTTTTATGAGGATCAGTGACAAACATTTGGGGATTCTTGCTTCTTAAATGCTGTAATTTGATGCGTTTTTTTAGTTGTATGTCAGTAAATTTAGCATTTTTTCATTTTGGACTGATGTTGCTTTTGTCTGTGGACGTTTAGAACAAGACGTGTTGATGATTTGATTCTTTATCTTCTCAATATTTCATCATTTTACTTCACTGCTGACTGACAGTTATTCTCTGTTTTACTTCACTAGCTTCAGAAAAAACAGTTTTATTCCGTCTGCTTTATAAATCGTCACATTCACTTATTTTATTGTTGTTTTTATCAACAAAGCAGCTAAACAGTGATGATAAAACAGAAAACACAGCAGAGGAAAATGGAATCGAATGAATTAAAACCAGTAAAAAACGGAACAGACGAGTTGAATTTCACGGTAATGAACTAAAACAATAAGAGACATAAAATAAAAGATAAAGTATGAAAGCAAAGACACGTTTAATGAAAGTATCAGCTGTTTAGATGTGATTGATAATTAAAGTAAGTTTAACTTTTACATTATTGAGGAGTTAAAGTTGCTGAGAATGCGTCTGAATGTGTTTCTAGCAGCTCATTACGATCTTATTTTATCATCATCATTAGCTCAGAGTTTGTTTTTATTACTCAAAATCAGTAACTTGCTCCCGTTTTGAAAATAAAAACCTCCCTGTACAGAATAAATCCACCGTCTGATAAAACGCGACGTTCTGACGGACGAGGTCACTTCCTGCCTCGTACCGACGAGGTCGGAGGTCGCGGCGAGCCGACAGACCGGATGACAGACGCTGCAGACGACTTCTCCTTCTTCCCTCTGAGCTGGAGGAGGGATGCTGCGCTCTCTGTTGCCACGGCGACGCTCACCATGAGTGTGTGCGTGACCCACTTTACCTCCACGAAGGGCGGTTACGCAACAGCCAGACACACAGCGGCGACCTTCAGGCCGACATTGAGACGCAGGTGGACGAATGAAGCAGCGTTCTGGTGGCGAGCGTTAATTATTATGGCCCAGAAACCGCTTTGGGCCGACTGTCAGAACCACATCCAGCTACAGGAAGCTCAGGCAGCAAAGGACCCAGTCAGAAATCAGCTTATTTACCATTTTAAAGCGGATTTGATCCAAGATTTCACGCTCTGCTCCCACGTCGAAGCTGAAGATTATTTTTACCATCAACAAATAAATTCTCCAGTTCTGGTTCCGTCCTCAGATTGTGACGACGTGTGAACCTGGTGAGAGTTTAAATTCAATCAGGAAGCAGAATTTTACATTTTTATGAGCGTTAAATCCAACTATGAGACGGTCCTGGTGGGTTCTGGAGGTAAAACGGTCCTTCCATCAACTAGAACTGGTTCTGACCAACCAACATCACACATGCTGATATGAGCCTGGAAAGTTTACCCAGAATGCACTTTGTAAAGTTTTCTCTGGTGACTGATCAGAACCAGAACCACATCCAGGGTGCCGATGATTGTTTTTTTCATAGACATTAAACTGTTCACACCACGATACATCCCATAATACTGATGCTACCAGCTGGTTATGGAGGACATTGATTGGAAAAGTTTTGGGCCATTTTGGATCCGTTTCAGGTTGGCTGGTTAAACTTTGTGATGTTGGACATTTGTTTTGGTCATTTTGGTTCATTTTTAACTCATTTCAAACACGTCATGAATACTTTTGGACAGTTTTCGGGTTGTTTTGGTCGAGTTTTTGGTAATTTTGCAAACATTTCCAGGCATTTTGGATTTTTTGTGGTTATTCTGGAGAATTTCTGAGTCATTTTGGGGCAAATCACAAGTTATTTTTGGAAAGTTTCTGCAATTTTGGAAAGATTTTACAGGAAATTTGGAAAAGTGTGAAGTATTTTACGCAATCTTTTGCTCATTTGAACCATTTTATTGGTTATTTTGGACAAACTGAAGCAGAACCACATCCAGGGTACTGATGATTGTTTGTCATAGACATTAAAGTGTTCACACCACGATACATCCCATAATACTGATGCTACCAGCTGGTTATGGAGGACATGGTGCTGATTTGTTTTGTTATTTTGGACCATTTTTAGGTCATTTTGGTAACTGTTGAACTGATGTAGAACAGGCTTATGGACCATTATGGACCCGTTTCTGTTACTATTGTCAAGTTTTGAGTCATTTTGGAAAAGATTCTGGGCCTTTGGATCAGTTTTAGTCATTTGGAGATAGATTGTTTTAAATTTAGGAAAGTTCACATGAATCAACTATTTTGATCCATAAAATGTCGTAAAATAGTTAAAGAGCCAAAAGTGACGTCTCCACATGAGACACCTGGATGGATGTAGAACTGATCTGGTGTCAGGTTCTAGCAGAACCCAGATGTGTTCTTCCTCCTAAATGTCATGTGTCTATCTGCGGTACTGATGAAGTTCTGAGGCTCAGAAATGGTGGAAAAAGTCCATTAAAGTGATCAATCTGGACCCTCCTCTGTGGACTTCAAGGACCTGGACCTCTGGAACATTCACAGTCTGAAGGTAGAACTCTGGTCAGTAGATAAAGGTGCTGCGGATACAGTTGTTCATAGTTTAATGCTGTCATATCAGTGTGGAACTGGGCCGTGTGTCTGATTCTAACGTGGGCCAACGTCTATTTTCGGTAGAAGTGTCGCAGATTTTCGTTTCAGCTGAACACCAGCGTCTCGGCGCTCCAGTCTTCTGCCAAAACACTTTGTCGCCACAGATGCATTGTGGGAGTCGAGTCAATCTGCAGAAACCTCCGGTGGAAACCAAAAGACAGACGGGATGCTGGAGTTTACAGACGGTTCAGCTACCTGGGCTTGTCTGCGGGGTCCTTGCAGTGGGATATAGGTCACCCTGTCAGCGCCTGATGAATAAAACACTCTGAGCACGTGGCATGAAATATTAATGGGAAAGTAAGTAAATAATATATCTGTGTTCAGGTGACCGGGTTGTGGAGGAGAGTTTATGGACCAGTTAGAGGAACCATCCACTAGAGGTTTATTCAGTCGTGAACAAGTATATATACACTCGTAAAGACCATGTTGATCCTGATAGACGGGCGTCTCCAGTGACGTCTTAATTATCTATGAAGGAATCATTGAAGCACATCAAAAAACAATCCTGTGTTTTGGTTCTTTCGTAGGTTTATTAAAGGTAAAGCTTTAATAAATCTGTGAAAGAACCAAAATACAGGATTGTTTTAGTGACATAGATTCTGTGTTTTAAGGGTTCCATCATGTAAATCCAGCGTTCTAGGACTCTCAGGTCGGTGAACTCTGACTCTTCCTCCGTCTTCTGTAAAGCAGCTGCTGAGGGAAGACGTTAGATAATCATCCAGTCATCGTGTAGAACCTCCGTCCTCTGCTGCCCTTTTCTGCTTTTATCAATGAGGAACCGCTGTGAGGCTCAACACAACCTTATGTAACCCCTTTGTGTGTTAATTGACGTTCTGCGGTCACATGACTCGTGGCTGCAGGCTGCTGCCGTGGAAACTCATCGCTCATGTTCTGAACCTCAGACCGTCTGAGGAGGACGTTTCTGAAGCTTAATGCTCAGAAAAATACAATATATTAGAATCCTGTTTAGTTGCTTATCAGACCTCCCAGTTACACTCTAATATGTAGAATAAAATAAAGTAGGTTAATAATTCAGGATGGTGATGATCAGCGAAGCCCCAAAACCTGTCTGCTGTCTTTAAAAAATCATCAGTGTGACACCATTTGTCATCCAGAAACTGTGAAAACAGAAAAATGTGTCCGATTTTCATCCTTTTATTCACCGTTTCGATGTTAATTTCTGTTGTATAATTAAAATATTTCATTATTATCATCATGTCATTTTAAATTTTTGCCAGAAGTAAACTTAGTAAACAAAGTAAAGATGTAAAATGACACCATTAACATTACAATCTGGGCATTATGGACAGTTTCAGCCTGACTTTTTATGTAAATTATTTTTTTTTTCCTGTTATTTTTTACCAGCTGTTATCTGTACTTTAATAGAATCAGAACGATCTTTAAAATGCCAGTAAAAAATTAATATACAGCTTTTTTCCTCTCCTTTTAATAATAGAAATATCTGTAAAATACAGATTTTTTATTTTTATTTCTTCACAGTGTTGGTTTTTTTTATTTCATCTTGTATTCTAATTAAATTAATTGTCATCTTACAGGCATGTTTAGTCATGAGGAGATAATCATTCAAACCGTCCCTGCAGCTCTAATGTGCATTAATAAGAGAGTCTTTTTATTTTTCCTCCTGTGGCATCAAATGTGCGTCGACGTTCTGCAGAAAAGCGACCGTCTGAGCGAGCAGAACCTCAGCAGGTGGTTCTGCCTCCACATCTCGGCGCTCAGCAGCCGATGAATAATTCATGTCGGCGGTTTGCGTTGCGTCTGTCGGCGGAGGGAACTTTGACGCCACTTCAAGCCCACAGAGAGAATCATGATTCATCCGGAGCTGCAGCTCCTGTCAACGTTTCCTCTCGTTTTATCAGCACTTTAGCAATTTCTGCAGCAAAAAAAAGCATTTTTAATCCTTGTATTCATACCCGGTGTTTAACAAGCTGTGTATTTTCTCAATTAAGCAGCGATCCACCTGGTATTTTTTAAACTGTGGATTTTAACAGTGTCAAAATGTCATAAACAGGGCTGCAGGTAACTATTAATTTCACTGTTGACTATTCAGTTGGACTAATTGATTGGTTGTTTGATGCATAAATACCAGAACATAATGTAAAATGTCGATTAGTGTTTCCCAAAGATTTTCACTTTACTGTTGTTGAAACCCGAAAATATTCACGTTAAAAAATCACAGAATGTTTTCTTTTACTTAAACTCAAACTGAACAATCAATTATCAAAATAGTTGATGATTAATTGAATAAGTGATAAATAATTAACAAGTCCGTGCAGCTCCAGATAACGTGGTGTAAACAGCTGAACAGCAGTGGGCCCAGACTTGAACCTCCAGATCTAATTGTCATGATATTACAAATATATATCGAGAAAATAGTGGTAGTAAGTTCTCAGTAAATGCTTGAAATCATGAATTCCTGCATGAACAATGGTTTATAGGACATTAATTGGAAATTAAATTTGTGCGTTTTTGTAAAACATCTACTAACACACTCACTAACCAGTAGTGAGTGTGTAAGAGCGCGTACAAATGTACTACAGCTACACAGTTTGGTCATCATTTACACACTTTCTAAATCAGGGGTGTCAAACTCATTTTCATCCTGGGCCACATGAGCATTATGTTTAACCTCAAAGGGCCGGTTGTAATTGTAAGACTTCTTTACATATTGTTATATAATTGTCTCTCCTTTACCTAAAACTGAACTACATGTAGCAGGGCTCCAGACTAACTTTTCCAATGGTAGCCCTGGTGCTACCAACTTTCTTTGCTGGTTGCACCAGCTAATGATCTGGTCGTCCACCCCTTTGTTTTGGTTCAGCCCTGCCACAGCTATTAATGCACCATGCAGCTGATGAACAGCTGTCTTTGCATTTTGCGGTAGATGCTACATTTTGCCGATGTTCTCTGAACGCCTCACATGCTGCTCC